AGGCTATGATGATGAATAGGTTGAGTAGAGTGTTATCCGTATAACTGACCCCAGGCCTTCCCACCCTCATTCTCGACTCCATGGAGCATCAGTGTGCTAATCTTTTGGATTATGTATCTTCTACTTTACAGTTGCTACAACAATGGGCTCAAATATAACAACGATTGTGAAGATGGTGTAGGACCAGGCAGTGTTTTGTTCTGTTGTAAATAGGGTCACTATGAGTTGGAATGGACTCAAAGGCACCTAAAAACAACACCACCACTTTACATAAATTGTATTAATATAAGTCAATCAAACACTAACCTAAATGTCAGAGATTCAAAACCACCAGCTGCTCCATTGGAGAAAGAAGTAGCAGTCTGCTTCTGTAGAGATTGACAGCCTTGGAAACCCTATAGGGTCACTACGAGTCAGGATCGACTTGATGACAGTGGGTTTTAATAGAAATATACATAAAATATGTCTACCCTCCAGGCATTTTCATTATAACTTATATTTTCAACAAATCAGACATATTTTCTCATGGAATAAGATAGTGAGAGGAAATTTGAGCATATTGGGAGAAAGTGAGGTCACAGCCATTGATTTTATATAAAGAGGTGTGATTAGAAAATTCCATTTGGATAAAAAGATCCTCTAGTTTAAAGGAAAAATATGTTAAAATTACTATATTACTCAAAAGCATATGTACACAATACTCTGATGAGATATACATGGATTCCTGGATTTTATTTTAAATTCTTCTGTACTGTTATGAGTCAGAATTGGCTGGATGTCAATGGGTTTGGTTTGGTACATTAAGGACCCAAAGTACTTCTTTGCACAATTATATCATACATGATGCATATAAACATAAGTGTATTTAAATTAAAATGTATATACATGTCCTGGTGCAGTGCTTAAGGACTTGGCTGCTCACCAACCAAAAGGTCAGCAGTTCAAATCCACCAGCTGCTCCTTGGAAACCCTATGGGGCAGTTCTACTTCTGTCCTATAGGGTCACTATGAGTTGCAATTGACTCAAAAGCAACTGGTTTGGGTTTTTTGGTTGTTGTTAGTAAACCACAGATTAAAAAAAAAAAAAAAAAGCCAGAGAAAGATGAGGATGGCAGTTTAAGGGAAAAGAATTAATGGTTTGAAATGATACTACTTACAATGAAAATAGCAGTTCCAGCAGCCTCTGAGTCAGGAAAAATCAAGCAAATAGAAAAATACAATAGTATCATATTAAATAATAAAATGGTTACAGGGGAAATATACTATCTCATATAACACATTGCTTATAAGGTTGTCACCCTATGCACACACATTGCTTATGTCAGTAAAGCAACTATTTGTCTTTTCCCGCCTGGAGCAAAGGAGATTGAAGAAAATTGAAAACTCAGTGAAGCAATTAGTCCAAAGGACTAAAGGCCCACGTGAACCACAACCTCCTCTAACTTGAGACCCGAAGAACTAGATGGTGTCCAGGTACCACTACAGACCACTCTGACCAGGATCACAACAGGAGGTCCTGTGTAGAAAGGGTAAAAAATATACAACAAAATTCAAATCAAGGAAAAAAAAAAAGACCAGGTTTATGGGTTTGAAAGTGACTGGAGGAACCTCTGAAACAATTGCCCTAAGTCAATCTTTTAATGTGAAACTATAGACATTCCTGGAGGTCACCTTTCAGCCAAATAATAGACATGGCTATAAAATAAACAAGAACATCCCTGAAGTATGTGCTCCTTAGAACAATGGACTACAGAAGACCAAAAGGGCAAGAAGGCGGGGAGGGACAGGGAAACCTGACTAATGGAAACAGGGCAGCCTGGGAGGAAATGGGAAGAGTGCTGACACATTGCAGGGATTGCAACCAAAGTCACAGAACAATTTGTGTAAGAATCATTGATTGTGAAGGTAATTTGCTATGCAAACTTCCACCTAAAGCACAATAAAATGTTTAAAAAAAAAGAAAAGCTAAATTGGGTATTAGGAGATATTACAATTAGGAAGTCAACGATCTTGAATGAATGCAATAAAAGCAATATAAATCTTGTTTAGTTGCAATGATGATACATTGTAATGATGTAAATAAGGTAAGGGAAGATAAAAGGACTTGCTGTCAAAAGCTTTGGAGTTCTATAGAGAGCGTCAAATTATTTTTCATAGCTTACTATCTTTGTTCAGTATCTAATTCTCATTTTATAAAGCTGCACGTTTTGGGAAAATGATACCTCCTTTCTGCCACATTCCACTGGAAATTGAAGACCCACTGCCATCCAGTTGATTGTGACTCGTAGCGAACCCATAGGATTTCTGAAGCTGTAACTCTCTAAGGAAGCCGACTTGCCATATCTTTCTCCCTTGGAGCTGCTGGTGTTTTGAACCACCAACCTTTTGGCTAGCAGTCGATCACTTTAACCACTGCGCAACAAGAGCCACTTAGAAATTGAAAAACATGGTATATATTATACTAATATCATAAAACTGGGTACTTAAACGTTTCCTAAACTCCAACGATGAGTCAAAATTGACCCTAGAACAATTTTTTGTTTGTTTTTATTCACATAAATGCATTAAGTAAAAATATTATTTAGCCATATAATGATAATATTTCAAAGATACTTATAAGCATTTAGCCTCTGAAACAAAGTGAGAATAGTTTCAAAAAAAAGCTTAACAAAATACCTAAGGATTGTCTGTTAATTATCCAGGACAATTTGTATTCATCAATGAGCAAGTTTTTCGTATGTATGTCTGTATTTATCTTTTTCATACATTCTTGCATTTTACTCTTTGTTAACATTTTTACCACACAGGGATCTGGATTAAAATATATTTTTAAAATCAGAGCTATCAATATGCCCCATTTCTATAGTGATCTCTTCAAATGGATGACAAAATGAAGAAGTGATTAAACACTTACTTATCCCATTGTTTGAAGACTTAAATGAAATAAAAGTAATGCATAGATGCATATGTGAGTTACCACTTCCTTGTTTGCTGTTGTTATAGTTGCTGTTATCTCTATTATCCAGATTTATTTTGGTTGTTGTTTTGTTTATGACCTCAGAAACAGAAATGTTACCCTTGCTTCTCATTTTATAGTCATTTGCCATAATCTGTTTAGGGTTTTTGCTTATTTATTTTCCTTTATTATATTTCAATATTGTATGTTTTTCTGTTCTGTCCAATCCTCATTCCAAAACATCTTTCTCACCTTCATACATATTCCGCTGTGCTTGACACACGCTCTACCATATGAATATATCCTTATGATATTTTATGTGTAATGCTTTACTAGGAACATATATTTATTGTGCTATAAATGTTTTTGCTGCATTTTGTCATTGCAAATATTTGTAATATATCCATTTGTGACTTTTTTTTGCTTATATGTCCTATATTGGTACGTATATATATATATATATTTTTTTTTTTTTCACTTGCCTATTCTTTAATGGAAGAAGCCCTGGTAGTGCAAACACTTATTGCTAACTGAAAGTTTGGCAATGGGAACCCAAGCCATTCTGGGAAGAAAAGACATGGCTATCTGCATCCATAAAGATTACAGCCTAGGCAACCCTATAGGACATTTCTACTCTGTCCTATAGGTTTCTATAAGTCAGAATCAACTTGATGGCACCTAAAAAAACAAAAATTCTTTAATGGTAGATATTTTATTGTCTCCAACAGAACATTGTCTGACTTTCTTCTTTGGACGTGTCATCAGGAAAGACCAGTTGCTGGAGGAGAACATTATACTTGATGAAGTAGAGGGCCAATGAGAATGAGGGAAGCTCCCCATGAGATGGATTGATACAGTGGCTGCAGCAATGAACTCAAACATACAAATGATTTTGAGGATAGCACAGGGCCAGGCAATATTTTTTTCTCTTTTACATAGTGTCACTTAGCGCATTCTCATTTACTATGTAATTTCTTCATTACTATGCTTATAATGCATCTCTCCTGCTCAAGAAAGGCAAGATTTTTTACTGTTTTCTTTATTAATCTACTCACAGCTCTTAGCAGAGTGACTGGTAGAAGGCAATTAAAAAAAAAAAAAGTTCAAAGCCCATAATGTAATTTATATGAATGGTATGGAGGCACACAGACAAGGTTTGAAGTCCATGATGTAATTTATAGGAACCATATGATACAGACAGAAGTAAAAAAGATACTGCGAATGTTTTCCATGTCCTATGTGGGGCATGGTAGGTTTTCTGGAGACAGTAACAAACTATCAGACAAAATTATGCAATTAGAAAGCAATATCAATCCTGCAGGAAAAAAAATTTAAAATCTGGAAACTTCTATAGCTGACCTCACTAAATTTATCTTAACTACTGTATCAACTGATACAGACAAAATGGGTTGACTTAGGCAAAACCAGATACCAAGTTGATCTTGTTGACTATAATAACTTTATTTGTTACTGTTTATATTACTTTTACAATATAATAATAATAATGAAAAAATAAACAGACTCTGAGGACTCAAATATGAAATAAAAGCACCAATGATGAAAGAGAGGGATTTCAAAGTTTAGAAAGTGGACATATGAGAAAATTCAGATGACTGAGTACTTCAAATCATCCAACTGCACTGAGCCTTCTTGCTATTAGAATTAGCCATCCTGTATGACCACTAAAACAGAAGGTTTGCGTGCCCTTGTGCATACAAGCGCATGTGCACAGACACACATTTTCTACAAATTTTTTCCTACTAGATGAGGAAAATACCCAACACTTGTAATTCTTTCTGTATCTACTACTGTTTCCCTATCCCAATCAGCTTATTCACTCTTTTTTTTAAAATCTATTACCCCCAGCACATTCTAGTATATTATAAAATTTCTTAATTTTTATGTTTACAATGCATCTCCCATGCTCAAGGAAGGCCATAGTTTTTACTATTTTATTTATTAATCTATTAACAGCTCTTAGTAGAGTGAATGGTAGAAAGCAATATAGAAATATATATTGAAGCTATCTGTGCTTTTCTGCTTGCTACCCCCTCCGGAGGCACACAGAAAAAAGCTTAAATCCCATAATGTAATTTATATGAATCATATGATATAGTGAACTTTGAGAAAATATATTGCATAATTGTCCTAAAGTCTTATGTAATGCATGTTTCACGTCATTATTCCTAAAACTATAGATCAAGGGATTCAGCATGGGAATAACCACAGTATAAAATATGGAAGCCACTTCATCAGTGTCAAAGGAATGACTGGACTTGGGCTGCATGTACATGAAGATTAAAGTCCCATAGAACACGACCACCACCGTCAGGTGGGATCCACAGGTGGAAAAGGCCTTGTGCCTGCCCTCAGCTGAGTTCATCCTGAGAATGGCTGCTAGAACAAGCAGATAACAAACAACAACTATTAGGAATGATGAAATACAATCAACAGCTGCAAAGATAAGAATGATCAATTCGATATCATGTGTGTTTGAGCAGAGCAAAGATAACAAAGAGAGACAGTCACAGTAGAAATGACTGATGACGTTGTAGCCGCAGAAGGATAAATTAAAAATCTTTATGCTGACCAGAAGAGAAACAAATGTGCCGTAGAGATAGGGGATTGTCACCAGTACCCAACACACTCTTTGTGACATGATGACTGTGTAGAGCAGAGGACTACAGATGGCCACATAGCGGTCATAGGACATTGCTGACAGGATAAAAACTTCACTAGTTATGAACATAATAAGGAAAACTAGCTGTGTAGCACAAAAATAATAGGATATTTTATTATCATTCACAACAAAATTTATCAACATTTTGGGTCCCACGGCTGTTGAATAACCAAGATCAGTGACAGCCAGATGTCTGAGAAAAAAGTACATGGGTGTTTGCAGTTTGGAGTCTATCTTGGTGAGGATGATCATGCCCAAGTTGCCCACCACTGAGATCAAGTAGATGATGAGGAAGAGCCAAAACAACGGAGCCTGTAGCTCTGGGCGATCTGTGATTCCCGTCAGCATGAATTCATTCAGCACTGTTAGATTGTGTTTGTCCATCTAGGTCTACCAGGAAACTTTTTCTGGATAGAGACATCAAAATTGTCAATAGCTTTTATGTAGTATCATGTGATAGACTTTTAGTATACAAAGCCAGTATGACTAATATAAATCCAAACTTTCCAATTATGATGACAGTGTGTTACCTGAAAGAAGTTTTCTTTACATATGTATATGTAAATTCTTCTAGTGTGACTTAATTTCTATGTCAGTGCTATGATGATGAGTAGGTTGAGTAGCTGACAGCCCTTCCCTACACCATCCTTGACTCAATGACAAAATTTGGACCATCAGTGTGCCAGTCTTTTAGATTATATATCTTCTACTTTACTTAAAACATTTTAATATATATTTAAGTTTACTTCAAATATGTCCACCTGTAGGGGCATTTTCATTAAGTTGTTTGTAACAAATCAGATATATTTTCTCATGGAAGAACCTAAGATAGTGAGAGGAAATTTGAGCAAATTGGGAGAAAGTGAGATCACTGTCATTGATTTTATATAATGTAGTTTCATTAAAAAATTCCATTTGGATAAAGCAATCCTGTAGTACAAAATAAAAATCAGTTAAAATCACTATATTACTCACAAGAAGAGATAAAATACACTGATGAGATTACCAATTAAATAATTCTGTACATTAAGGACCCGAGGTACTTCTGTGTAATATTATGTAGTACATAATGCAGACAGACATAAGTATGTTTAAATTAAAATGTATATGCATATTCCAAGTAAATCGTGGATTTAAAAAACCATGCCAGAGAAGGATGAGGATGGCAGTTTAAGCAAGGTAAAAGAATTAGTGGTTTGAAATGATACCACTTACAATGAAAATAGCAATAGCAGCATCCTCTAAGTCAGGAATAATCAAGGAAATAGAAAAATACAATGTTATCATATTCCATTATAAAAGGGTTACAGGGGAAATACACTCTCATATAAAACATTGCTTATAAGGTTGTGTACTTCTGATACCCCCTCTCATCCCTATACACACATATTGCCTATGTCAGAAATACTGAATTAGGTATCAATAGATATTACAATTAGGAAATCAAATATCTTCAGTGAGTGCAATAAAACAATATATACCTTTTTTAGTTGCAATAATGAAAGGCTGAAGAAAAAGAAGTGTTTACTTTAGTAAATACTGGTTTTCCTATAAGGTAAGGGACTATAAAAAGACTTCCTCTCATCAGCTTTGGAGTTCTATGGAGAGCACCAAATTATTTTTCATAGTTTACTATCTTTGTTGGGTATCTAATTCTCATTTTTATAAAGCTATACTCTTTGAAAAAAATTATATCTTCTTTCTGCCAGATTCCACTGGAAATTGAAGAACATGCTATATATTATAATACCATCATAAAACTGGGTACTTGAAAGTTTCCTAAACTCCAAAAATTGCTTTTCGCATCTCAGTGTGAGGTGTGAGATGGAAATTTTTTTGTTTCCTCATCAAGAGATTAGTAAAAATGCACATTTACACAGTTATCAAAATATGCATTAAATATTAAATTGTGTTTGAGAGGGACATAAAAGGAGATTAGAGCCACTATACAATTAAAGATTTGGAAGGACCTTAACACTGGAGACTGAATATCTGCAGCTTCATAATTCCGCTACAGTATTTTTTTTTTTTTGCATATCATACAAATTTATTAAAAAGACTTCAAAATAATTTGTTATATTCCTTCAGTGAGTGCATATTAATTATCAACTAATTAATGATTTGCTAGAATCTAGGATTCTGGTAATATCAGCTCTGCTCTAAAACAAACATCAAATGGCTGCAAAGAAATTCTCATAACACATTAAAAAAATAAAAAAGGATATTTTACATTCTTCTCAGTGGTGAAAACGCAATAATTCAAAATTAGTTCTGTATCATGGTAACAGTTCAGTTGTTACAGAGCCTGAATATGTATTTCCTAATAATATGGATTAGGGCTAACAGAGTCAAATCACTCTTGACTAAAGGAGCATGACATTTTCTTCTTAAAACTAAGGTGGAGATGGATTAAATTAAGATTTTTTCAGTGGAAAAGACCAATTTTCCATTTTCATTACAATTTGTGGCATGTGAGTGAGATATGATGCTTTAGCTCCCTGAAGACAATGAATCAGACTGATGTGCTAGTCAACACTTTTCTGACCATTTGATGACAGGCTTTTTTTTTTTTTAATTTTTTTTTTATTGTACTTCAGGTGAAGACTTATAGAACAAATAGTTTCTCATGAAACAGTAGTACACATATTGTTTTATGACATTGGTTAACAACCCCACAACATGTCAACCCTCTAACTTCTCAACCTTTTCTTTGGTGAAAATACACATAGCCAAAGATACACTGATTCAAAAATTTCTACATGCACAGTTCAGTGACATTGACTATGCTCTTCCAGTTGTGCTGTTATTCTCACTTAAGAAGAAGGCTTACAGAACGAAATAGTTTCTCATTTAACAGTTACTACAAATGTTGCCCTATGACAATGGTTAACAATCTCACAACACATCAACAATATCCTTACTCAACCTTGGGTTCCCTATCACCAGCTTCCTTGTGCCCTTCTGCCTTCTGGCCCTTGTCACTGGATTACTGTACCTCGTTAGTCTCATTTGGTTTTACGGGGCTGTCCACTCCCAGGCTGAACGGTGAACCTCGGAGATGACTTCACCACTGAGGTAAAAGGGTGTCTGGGGACCATATTCTTGAGGTTTCTCCAGTCTCCTTTAAGCCAGTCAATCTGGTCTTTTTTTTGTGAGTTAGAATTATGTTCTACGTCCTTCTCCAGCTCTGTCCAGAGCCCTCTGTTGTGATCCTGGTCAGAGCAGTCAGTGGTGGTAGCCGGGCACCATCTAGCTGTACTGGACTCAGTCCAGTGGAGGCCTTGGTAGCTGTGGACAATTAGTCCTTCGGACTAATCTTTTCCTTGTATCCTGTTCTCTTCATTCTCCCTTGCTCCCAAAGGGATGAGACCAGTGGAGTATCTTAGATGGCCGCTCACAGGCTTTTAAGACCCCAGACACTACTCACCAAGATAGAATGTAGAGCATTGTCTTTATAAGACGTGTCATGCCAATTGAGCTAGATTTTCCCGAGACCATGGTCCCCAGAGCCCTCCGCCCAGCAATTCAGTCCCTCAGGGAGTTTGGATGTGTCTATGGGGCTTCCATGATCTTTCCTTGTACAGGTTGTGCTAGTTTCCCCTGTATAGTGTACCCGCTACAGTATTTTTTAATAGTGTATTTGTTTACTTTCACATTTGAGCTCTATTATTCACATAATTAGGCCACTTAGGTGGTGCAAATGATTAAGTGCTCAGCTACTAACTGAAAAGTTGGTGGGTCAAGTCCACTCAGAGGCACCTTGGAAGAAAGAAAGATCTACTGAAAGGTCAGAGCTAATGAAAAACCAATGGAGCACAGTTCTCTGACACACATGGGTTGGATATGAGTTGGAACTGACTCCAGGACAACTGGTTTGTTTTTTGTATTGTTTTGTTTTTTATTCATATAATTATTTATATAAAGGAAAAATATTATTTAGCCATATTATTATGTTTCAGAGATCCTTATGGGATTTAGCTTCTGAAACAAAGTGAGAATATTTGAAGAAAATAATATGAATAAAAAATGGGATGAGAAACTAGTCTCAGGCCCTATTGAAAAATAGAGTGCAAACAGAACTGAATCAGAAATCCTAAAATTGTGCAATGAATTTACCATTGAATAAAGGTGGGACCCTGCAAGTTTCACTGAAACATTCTGGATATTGGTAAAATATGGAAATACTCATATCTTTTTACCTGCAATGAAGCCTCCGTCTTGACTCCCCCATGTGCTTTTAATGATGGCATGGTGAGAACAATTTAAAGATATTTTTCCACCCTTACAGATTCTCCCTGAGGAAATGCCAAGCAATCAATTTGTTGATTGTCCCTGAAGCATTTGAAAGCTTAACAGAATACCTGGGGATATTCTGTATATTGTCCAGGACAATTTCTATTCACCAGTGATCAAGTTTTTCTTCATTTAATATGTAGATATTTATTTATCTATTTCATACATTTTTGCATTTTAATCTTTGTTAACCTTCCATTTTTCCCCACAGGGATATAGATTAAAACATTGTGTATGTAAAACAGAATTATCAATATTCCCCGTTTCTACAGTGGTCTGTTCAAATGGATGACAAAATGAAGAAGTGCTTGAACATTTTCTTTTTTTAATTGTAGTTTAAATGACAGTTTACAATTCAAGTTAGTGTCTCATACAAAAATTTATACATACATTGTTATGTAACTCTAATTGCTCTCCCTATACTGTGACAGCACACTCCTCCTTTCCACCCCTGATTTCCCGTGTCCGTTCAACCAGCTCCTGACCCTCTCTGCCTTCTCATCTCACCTCCAGACAGGAGCTGCCCATTTAGTCTCATGTATCTATTTGAACTAAGAAGCATACTCTTCACAAGTATCATTTTACGTCCCATAGTCCAGTCCAATCTTTGTCTGAAGAGCTGGCCTTGGGAATGGTTTTAGTTCTGGGTTGACAGAGATTCTGGGGGCCATGCTTTTTGGGGTTCCTCCAGTCTTAATCAGACCATTAAGTCTGGTCCCTTTACTAGAATTTGAGTTCTGCACCCCGCTTTTCTCCTGCTCCATCAGGAACTCTCTACCGTGTTCCCTGTCAGGGCGGTCATTGGGGGTAGCTGGGCACCATCTAGTTCTTCTGGTCTCAGACTGATGCAGTGTCTGGTTTATGTGGCCCTTTCTGTCTCTTGGGCTAATACTTTCCTGTGACTTTGGTGTTCTTTATTCTCCTTTACTCCAGGTGGGTTGAGACCAATTGATGCATCTTAGATGGCTGCTCGCTAGCTTTTAAAACCCCAGACACCACTCACCATAGTAGGATGCAGAACATTTTCTTAAAAAACTTTGTTATGCAATATTGTCCTAGATGTCCCCTGAAAGCATAGCCCCAGACCCCTGCCCCTGCTACTC